CGTCGTTTCAATATTATGATGAGGACCACCCGTCTAAGACAATCACATTTCTCCTCGAAATGGGTAGTCGTCTTAGACAGGTTCGCCTGTAGATATAAACAAGGACGAATTTTTTTTACAAAATCTTATTCGTCAAGGACAAGTGATAATAGACTTGTTGGGTAAGATTTTGAAAATGGAAGGTTAAGCATTATAAGACAATTTGTTGATCCTGATGGACATTGAGGGGCTAAAAACAAACTGTAATAAGTTGAGTTTGTTTGGGGGGCATTGTGATGAAAAGGAAAGGAGAACAAATGTTTGTAAGACGTTTAAAGTAATTTTGTTTTCAAATTTTATTGGGCTTTCCGTTTTAGCCCAAGTTCATAGACTCAAGTGGTTTGCCAAATCTTTGAGGCTATGGGTTGGGCACCAGGCATGCCTAAGCGTGTTTCACTATCTCAAGGGTTTTCCGTTCATTTAATTCACTTGACTTTAGACGACGGAGTTCGTTATCGAAATCACCATTTAAGTGTCCGATACGGCGTTAGACGTTGCCAAAGAAATTAATTTGAGGTTCATCAGTTAGGTACTCTTGTACAATTAAAAACATCAAAACCACAGCAATAGTTCTATTGTGCAATACAGCTGACGAAATTCTATCAATAATTCACTGTCAAAGGTTTTCCTGTCTGACTTCGTTAAAACAGACTTCGGTTGGCATTTATATATTATTAGACGTACCCTCTTCCCTTTTCAAAAACACACACTAACGTTTCTTTAATGATAATCAATTTAATCTTTAATGACTGTACAAATGACACAATTGCTCCAAGTTCTCGAGTTTTGAAACGCTGGCATCAGTCATATCTTGAATGAAACGCTGTATTTCTCTCAGAGCGTTCCTGTTTTGTGGATCGGAGTCTACCCCTCCGTTTGCTACAACAGCCCAACATAGAGCGGAATTTGGTCCTGAAGTTTGCGTTACACAAAGGGTAAAGGAATGGATTAAGTGTAGAGTTTAAGTAACCAACCCAGGTGGCGGCGGTCAGGTGACCACTGTCCACACAATTGTCACAAAAAGCGACCACCAGGAAAAGGGTGAAATAGGGCAAAAAACACAAAGTGAACGCTCCCATAATGACTCCAAGCTGCCTCGCGGCTTTGATTTCTTTGTTGAGAGAGGAACTTTGTCGTATTGTCCGGAGTCTTTCTTTCAGTCCAGTGACCCCTCCTGTGAGACGGCGATGCTTGTCGTCATGTAGAACCATGACGCCTCCATCAGACTCCTCTCCGTTCTTAGAGGAACAACATTCTGCACTGCTGCTTGGCGGGATTGACACGCCAGCTGTCCGGTCGAAAAAAGACTCCGCTTGGCGAATCTTTCTGATCCCACTGACCACAGAAAATGTTTCTCGTGGTGAATGTTTTGGCAGTTGAGATCTTGCGGAATGATTTATTACTGTTGTTGTCTCTGGTTTATTCTTTCCTGAGCACGTAGTTTTGCGATCTCGCTCTTCGAAAGTACTGGCTGAGGAAGAGGATGATTCTGAAACGGCCGTGAGCTGTGGGAAACTCGAAGGCGAGAAAGAGGTTTCTTCGGGGTTGTATTTTCTATACGAATCCAGCCTGACACCTTGAAGTTTTGATGATGAAGAAGAGGAGGATTTTTTACCTCTTTTAAAAAGACCTCGTTTGAACGCCGCTCCCTTTCCTTTTGACAGCTGTGGGGGTACAGGGACAGTTATTTGGAGCTGTGATGCTGATTCCTGGGGTGTTGTCACAGGTGAAAGTTTTAAATTTGGTGTTGAGGAATTTGCCTGTAGCTTTACAGACATCTTGAAATCCGGTAGAGGTCGAGGATTGCTTCTTGCTCCAGACGATGTTCTAGGTAGGCTGCTGGAGTATTTGTCGCCACCCACGACCCAAGTTGACCGTGTCAAACATTGCACTGGGTAGTGATCTTCGTAGAAGTACCTCTCTATTTTTTCCGTCTGAGGATCTAGGACACTTTCGTCATAAATATATTCCACTTTGAAAGTGCCACCACTTCCAGAAGAATCCCTGTTGTACGTCATGCCACCAGGTTGCCGTTTCACTGTGAGCAGTCGGAGGTTTCTCTTCCCTGAGGGAAGAGAGCGAGTCCCGTTCTGTCTCGCCCTAGCACCGTTGCCAGCACTCAGATTTGAGGCATTGCTGTTACTGTGGTTCACGCTAACGTTACCGCCTCGGTTGTCGAGAGAAGAATTTTCATCATTACATTCACTATCCTCTAGCGAATGAGAATTGGCGACGTTCGATTTGTAAGAGAGTACAGTCCCTCCTGGATTTCTTTGACCCAGCTCAAACTCTGAACGTCGCCTGATGGCGATGAAAATTCTGAAGTACAGAATATACATAATGGTTAAAGGGAGGTAGAAGTTGAAGAAAGCGGCGATAAGTTTAAAGAGAGAGTTTTTGGCGTACTCCGTATCGCAGACATCTTCGGGTACAGTTCTCTCCCCTCCGTGTGCAAAGTGATGCCAGCTCGAGATGGGCAAAACCCACAGGCAGGAAACAGTCCACACGAAGGCTATCATGCTGAGAGCTCGTCTCTTTGTGCGCTTATGCAGGTACTTGAGCGGTTGTCGGACTGACCAGTAGCGATCTAAGCTCAGTATAAAGAGGTTTAGGATGGAGGCTGTGCTAGCCGTGTAGTCAACCCCGGTCCAGATCTGAAACAGACAAATCAGATCTTATTTTAATAATAATAATAGTAATAATAATAATAATTATAATTATAATTATAATAGTAACAATAACAATGATAGTAGTAATGATAATGATAATAACAATATTGATTCTAAAAAATAATGATGATAATGATAATACATGAATAGATAAATAATTGTATTTGTCACAATAATAATTGATTGATTCTTGAGAAATGTTCGTTAATGTCTACAGCTGTATGCACTGATTTAAAGAAAAGAAGAGATGCAAATAACTTCTTGAGACCATTTTGTTTCCATAATTTTTTCAAGAGAATAAACAGCCATCCGAACTGATTTGTGCGCAGCGTTTCATTATTATAAGAAACGAAATACAAGGTATCAACTGTTAGCCTTTTGGATACCTGTTTCCAAGGTCATATTAAGATGTGAAAATAGGGTTTTTATTTAGTCATACTTGTTTTATACTTCTTTTGGAACTATGATTAGGAAGCTAAAAACTAATTTTCTCAAGCTATTTCGTTCTTAGATTAAGTTAATAAAACAGGATACAATTAGGACCTAATTAATGAGATCGAAAAAGAGCAATGACGACGAGAGAGTTGAAAAATTATTTATTATGGAGTGATAATTTTAACTGCATTGCCCTTTGTTTCTTGTCATATTATTATAAGCAAGGTTTGGTTGGATATCCGTTTCAAGACAGTCCAACTATCCTCTCTCCGAGTGGCGTCAGTAGCCTAGTGGTAAGACTACCGGACTCGTAATCGTGAGATTACAACACTTACCACCACACCTCCCCCACCCCTCCAACCGCGTGTGTTGGTGATATACAAAATCGTGAGATTACGGGTTCGGGGGTTCGAGCCTAAGCTCTGTCCGACGTTGTGTCCTTGGGAAAGGCATTTTACACGAATTTCCCACTTGGTTCGGTCCTTTCGGAGGTCCAGCCTCTTAAGAAATCTAACAGTATCGGTAGGGGCGTAAAACCTATTTTCCTCTCTCCGAAACGGCCGAACAAAGTAGTCAGATACCCTCATAATGCCACTAGACACGTCTAAGTAAAAGACAATAGCCTTTCGTATGTGTTAAACATGGGGTCACTTGATCCAAAACATACCAACTTAACATCAGTAGCGCTAAAGCATGAAATATCAGGCACGTTGCTGAATATGATGACATAAACGTGAGCTGAATATCTGAGACACCACATGTCCAGAGTAGATGCAAAACATAATTTTAGACACCTCTTACCACCCTCCCCTTCCCTCTCAACCAACCAACCTTTTCCCGATCATTCAACGAGTTTGTTTACGGGAGCAGAGAACTGAACCGGCTGGTTTTCCACTAATGACAAGCAATATCGTCTCTCTTACCACCACACCTCCCCCACCCCTCCAACCGCGTGTGTTGGTGATATACAAAATTAATAACACCCCTGAACACTAGCTACGGGTGAAATTTGTTCGAAAGTCAGAATAGCTAAGAGGAAAATAATAATACTATTCTATTCTATAATGTTCATTGACATTAACGCTCATGGGTATTATCAGTTTCCTGGACACTGCTTTAGAATTGTAAGTATTTTATTTGTATCGAGGTGGGCTTTTACAGTTAATATTTAAAATCTTGAAATTTTTGCACGAATTCCATCGTTATTTCGCTATACTAGAATTACACCGTTCTAACTGCTCAGTAGATATACCTAGTTTTGAGAAATTTTACGCTAAAAATTTTGAGTTTCACATGTCCTACTTTTAAGATTGCAATTCTTCGAATATCTTGATAACAACTCCGAATAAGCTTACGATGGTGATAGAGCAGATATAACATAATTTGGTTTTTGACATCTTGACTTCAATTGCCCTAAACGTCAGTTAGTACTTCTTAATTCTGAGGTCTCGATCTATTAGGTATCCTATGTTTCATGTCATCGAACTGCATTATGCCCCGTTTTCCGGCTTATCATTTCTTCATTTCTTAGGGGAGGTTCGCACTGGCGTCTGTGGCATGAGGTAAGGGGTTACGGCGTCGCATTCAGAAAAATCAGAGTTCAGTTCCGGTTCAGGGAATATTTTTATATCTCGGTCTTCCACTACTGGGACGTTGTATCCTTCTCAACCCGAGTTGGCCCTGCCACATCCTAAATGAGTTAAATGGTGTCAAAGTGGACTTACATTACAAGACACTAATAATAATTTTTTTTAAACGTATTTATTTTGTATTATTCTTTAATAATAATGATAATAATAGTAATAGATAGCATTTGTATAGCGGAAATGCCCGCTCAAGAGCAAGCTCTATGCGCTT